ATGGCCATTTTTACACCAAAACCGTGGGTTAACCCCTTTGGAAAAATGTCAATTTTTCGACTGTCTGAACTTCTTGTTTTTAAAGCCTAGAAAGTCGTTTTTTCGTTCCAGAATATCGTAAAACACATTTTCCTGGCCTTAAATGCCTAAAAAAAAAATTGGAAAAATGGTCATTTTTACACCAAAACCATGGGTAACCCCTTTGGAAAAATGTCAATTTTTCGACTTTTTGAACTTCTTGTTTTTATAGCCTAAAAAGGCGTTTTTTTTGTTCTAGAATATTGTAAAAGACATTTTTTTTACCCTATACTATGTTTAAAAGAATGATGGAAAAATGGCCCATTGTTGACCAAAACCATGGACTAACACCTTTGGAAAAATGTTAATTTTTCGACTTTTTGAACTTCTTGTTTTTTTAGACTAGAAAGGCGTTTTTTAGTTCTAGAATATTGTAAAAGTTATTTTCTTTCCCTATATTATCTTTAAAAAAAACATGGGAAAATGGCCAATTTTTGACCAAGGCCGTGGACTAACCCCGGTGGAAAAATGACAATTTTTCGACTTTTTGAACTTCTTCATTTTATAGCCTAAAAAGGCGTTTTTTTCGTTCTAGAATATCGTAAAAGACATTTCCTGGCCTATATTGCTTAAAAAAAAAAGGTTAAAAAATGGCCATTTTCGGACCAAAACCATGGAGAAACCCCTTTGGAGAAATGTCAATTTTTCTACTTTTTGAACTTCTTGTTTTTAAAGCCTACAAAAGCGTTTTTTCTTTCTAGAATATCGTAAAAGACATTTTCCTGGCCAATACTGCTTAAAAAAAAAGTTGGAATAATGGCCATTTTTGAACCAAAACCATGGGTTAACCCCTTTGGAAAAATGTCAATTTCTCGACTTTTTGAACTTCTTGTTTTTATAGCCTAGAAAGGCGTTTTTTCGTTCTAGAATGTCGTAAAAGACATTTTCCTGCCCTATATTGCCTGAAAAAAAAATGTTGGAAAAATGGCCATTTAACCCCTTGTGAAAAATGTCAATTTTTCGACTTTTTGAACTTCTTGTTTTTATAGCTTAGAAAAGCGTTTTTTTGGTTCTAGAATATCGTAAAAGACATTTTCCTGGCCTATACTTATTATTATTATTATTATTATTATACTGCCGAAAAAAAAAGTTTAAAAAATGGCCATTTTTGGACCAAAACCATGGGTTAACCCCTTTGGGAAAATGTCAATTTTTCGACTTTTTAAACTTCTTGTTTTTAAAGCCTAGAAAGTCGTTTTTTCGTTCCAGAATATCGTAAAACACATTTTCCTTGCCTATATTGCCTAAAAAAAAAAGTTTAAAAATGGCCATTTTTACACCAAAACCGTGGGTTAACCCCTTTGGAAAAATGTCAATTTTTCGACTGTCTGAACTTCTTGTTTTTATAGCCTAGAAAGGCATTTTTTCGTTCTAGAATATCGTAAAAGACATTTTCCTTGCCTATATTGCCTAAAAAAAAAAGTTTAAAAATGGCCATTTTTACACCAAAACCGTGGGTTAACCCCTTTGGAAAAATGTCAATTTTTCAACTGTCTGAACTTCTTGTTTTTAAAGCCTAGAAAGGCATTTTTTCGTTCTAGAATATCGTAAAAGACATTTTCCTTGCCTATATTGCCTAAAAAAAAAAGTTTAAAAATGGCCATTTTTACACCAAAACCGTGGGTTAACCCCTTTGGAAAAATGTCAATTTTTCAACTGTCTGAACTTCTTGTTTTTAAAGCCTAGAAAGGCGTTTTTTCGTTCTAGAATATCGTAAAACACATTTTCCTGGCCTATGTTGCCTAAAAAAAAAATGTTAGAAAAATGGCCATATTTGGACCAAAACCATGAGTTAACCCTTTGGAAAAATGTCAGTTTTTCGACGTTTTGAACTTCTTGTTTTTATAGCTTAGAAAGGCGTTTTTTCGTTCTAGAATATCATAAAAGACATTTTCCTGGCCTATATTGCCTAAAAGAAAAGTTGGAAAAATGGCCATTTTTGGACCAAAACCATGGACTAACCCCTTTGGAGAAATGTCAATTTTTCGAGTTTCTGAACTTCTTGTTTTTTTAGACTAGAAAGGTGTTTTTTAGTTCTAGAATATTGTAAAAGTTATTTTCTTTCCCTATATTATCTTTAAAAAAAAAAAAGATAGGAAAATGGCCAAATTTTGACCAAAATTGTGGACTAACCCCTTTGGAAAAATGTCAATTTTTCGACTTTTTGAACTTCTTGTTTTTATAGCTTAGAAAGGCGTTTTTTCGTTCTAGAATATCGTAAAAGACATTTTCCTGGACTATATTGCCTAAAAAAAAAATTTTGGAAAAATATCCATTTTTGGACCACAACCATGGGTTAACCCCTTTGTAAAATGTGAATTTTTCGACTTTTTGAACTTCGTGTTTTTATAGCCTAGAAAGTCGTTTTTTCGTTGTAGAATATCGTAAAAGACATTTTCCTGGCCTATATTGCCTAAAAAAAAAATGTTGGAAAAATGGCCATTTTTGGACCAAAACCATGGGTTAACCCCTTGTGAAAAATGTCAATTTTTCGACGTTTTGAACTTCTTGTTTTCATAGGTTAGAAAAGCGTTTTTTCGTTCTAGAATATCGTTAAAGTTATTTTCCTGGCCTATATTACCTAAAAAAAATGTTCGAAAAATGGCCATTTCTGGACCAAAACCATGGGTTAACCCCTTTGGAAAAATGTCAATTTTTCGACTTTTTGAAATTCTTGTTTTTATAGTCTAAAAAGGCGTTTTTTCGTCCTAGAATATCGTAAAAGACATTTTCCTGGCCTATATTGCCTGAAAAACAAAAGTTGGAAAAATGGCCATTTTTGGGCCTAAACCATGGGTTAACCCCTTTGGAAAAATGTCAATTTTTCGACTTTTTGAACTTCTTGTTTTTATAGCTTAGAAGGGCGTTTTTTTTTGTTCTAGAATTTCGTAAAAGACATTTTCTTGCCCTATATTATCTTTAAAAATATGAAGGAAAAATGGCCAATTTTTGACCGAAACCATGGACTAACTTTTTTAGAAAAATGTCCATTTTTCGACTTTTTGAACTTCTTGTTTTTATAGCCTAAAAAGGCGTTTTTTTTGTTCTAGAATATTGTAAAAGACATTTTTTTACCCTATACTATCTTTAAAAAAATGATGGAAAAATGGCGAATTGTTGACCAAAACCATGGACTAACCCCTTTGGAAAAATGTCAATTTTTCGACTTTTTGAACTTCTTGTTTTTATAGACTAGAAAGGCGTTTTTTAGTTCTAGAATATTGTAAAAGACATTTTTTTTACCCTATATTACCTTTTAAACAGAAGATGGAAAAATGGCCAATTTTTGACCAAAACCATGGACTAACCCCTTTGGAAAAATGTCAGTTTTTCGACTTTTTGAACTTCTTGTTTTTATAGGCTAGAAAGGCGTTTTTTCGTTCTAGAATATCGTAACAGACATTTTCTTGCCTTATATTATCTTTAAAAAAAAAGATGAAAAAATGGCCAATTTTTGACCAAAACCATGGACCAACCCGTTTGGAAAAATGTCAATTTTTCGACTTTTTGAACTTCTTGTTTTTATAGCCTAGAAAGGCGTTTTTTTGTTCTAGAATATCGTAAAAGACATTTTCCTGGCCTATATTGCCTAAAAAAAAAATGTTGGAAAAATGGCCATTTTTGGACCAAAACCATGGGTTAACCCCTTTGGAAAAATGGCAATTTGTCGAATTTTTAACTTGTTGTTTTTATAGTCTGGAAAGGCTTTTTTTTTCTAGAATACTCTTAAACACACTGTGCTGGGCTATTTTGCCTATATTAAAAAGATGGAAGAATTGCCAATTTTTGACCAAGAGCATTGACTAATCCCTTTGAAAAAATCGCAATGTTTCGACTTTTTATCTTGTGGTTATTATTGTCTGGAAAGGGTTTTTTTTCTTTGTAGAATATTGTCAAACACATTTTCCCGGCTATTTTGTCTATAATAAAAAGATGGAAAGACTAACCCGTTTGGAAAAATCCCAAATTTTTTACTTGTTTTAGAAAAATAAAATTTGATTTGATCTAAGAAAAATCAGAAAAAAACTGACTCACCTTACATTAGTTGTACGTTTCTCGCTTGTTGCGTTAGAAACAATAGTTTATCCCCTTACAAATCCTTATACTTCGAAGGTTACGCAACCTTTGGGCTACCTGTTATGCAACCATTTTTAAGCTTGGTTTACCTGTGGATTGATATATTACCATATGCGTTCTAGACAAGAACAACAACAAATGTTAACGTTTGTCTGTTGTATAGGTAAATTCTGTTTGTAGGTCAAACCAGAATCTAAGAATAATTAGGGCTAGGGAAAAAAGGAGTTTTCTGAATCAAACTAGGCCTTAGTTCGATTTTCCCTACAACAGGATGACTCGTTAGGAGAAGGAGAAACAGTTAGGCACACAAGGCAACAATGATTTGACGTCAAAAAATGACGTTTTTATTGCTCATGATAGCTTCATTTTTACAACAAGGAAAGGGATCTTATTCTGCAGAATTTTTATAAAATGTTGATTTTTCGTTAAATGTATAATTTTTTAATGTAAAAGTTCAATAGGCAGGTCTAAAAAGACAAGACAATTATCCTCCAGGAGTACTGCATAAATAACGTAAATAACAGCATCGAGTTTAAAACAGGAAATAAAAGTTGTAATTTTTGTTAAGTCTTTATTCAAATGATAAGAGATTTAGATTCACAGTTCCTGAAGACGTATAAAACAGTTTAGCACAAGCAGAGGGAAAGCTTGGTCACGTGATACTGATTGACGTTAACGGTGGCCTGACGGTTAGGCCATGCTGATATGCATAAATGAGATCGAAACAGCTGCTCATGGCATTACTGGCCGTGTGATATAGCTACACACATGCGTAAAATAGTAGCCACGCCGCGTGTTATCTGAGTTAGCCTGGGACCAGGTTACTTAATGGGGAAAATGGCGAATAACAGGACGCAAAGTAAAAAAAGAAACTGCAAGTGAAGCGAGCCGACTGGCTCAATTTGTCATATGTAAGTGAATTTTCTTGAAGTTCAATTTTTTAAGACCGCACTTAAAACACTTGTTTCTTTACACCGCGCCTTAAACGTTGGGTTACAGAATTACACGTTAAAGGGCGGAAAATAAATTTACCAAAACGTGTGATGCACGTGCAGAGTTGTTGTTTTGCTGATTTGACTTAATACTTTTTGGAAACTCTTCTTGTCATCGCCGTGTCGTTCCTTAAAATCTCTATTAATCTAGCGGAGGGGATTGGAAAAACGTAAGCATATTGTTCCTGTATATCCCCACCCCTCCATGGCTCTTCGAACAGGCTGAACAGCACGACTTGAGTCGATGTCCGAGAATTAAAAATACTTCTGTAGTGGTTCTCCCAGGACTCGTTCAATCTCCGAGATCAGATGTTGACATTGTTGCTCGACTTCAAAACATTCATCTAAAAAAGTGAATAGAAACAAAAAAACATTAAAAACACCTCGAAAAGTCCTTTCAAGCCATGCCATTGGCTTATCATACAGAGTTGGGTTGCGTTACAAGAAACTTACGTGACTAAGGGGATTAAAGGGTGCGTGACCTACCTTCCATGAGCTCTGCTAAGAAAGGAATGGTTTCTGGCAGGAGGACCATAAAATCTTCTCCTAGTCGAGCGTGGATACCCTCCAATACTTTCAGTGCCGCGAAGCGAACTTGCGCAGACTTGTGACGTGTTTTGAGCAACACTTGATAGTTCAGAGGTTTCCACTGCGCATCGTTCCCGGCAGCCACCGCAAACTGTGAGACACAGGGCACCAAATGATTGGTTAAACGCTGTTTGAATTCAGCTTCACCTCCTAATGGATTTTCAGTCTGCAAACAAACGTTAAGAAGATGGATTCAAGAAGTGAATTTAGGATATGGAGTATTAAACGAACTTGTTATGAGACCTGTTCTGCTATATCATGCTGCTTCCTCCAACCTCGGGCTCTTTGCAAATAGGTTGATGTGATGTGCTTTCTCTAAACTTACTTCGCTCTCATCTTATGCCATTGTGCCATGATTGATTTTTCAGCTGGAGCTTAAAGACTCTCGATTTTCTAAGGTGGAACCCTATGGGACAAGAGCCGCGTAAAAGGAGTTAAGAATCACAGGGACCAATTCTATAAACCCCGTCAAAAAAACTTGGGACACTTCCAATTTTTTTGCGCATGTCATTCCAGTCCACTTGCCCCCTTGTAGTGTTGTTAAAAGGTGCATTTTGGGACATACAAGCCCATCACGCACTTTTATGTAGTGCGCAACTTTTATTTCTAGGTTACCATACTGTCATACATATTAACAGGAAGGTCCCATATCACACGGTGACTTGAAAACAGGATACTGACAAGACAGGAATAAGTGTCACGCCTAGCATCTTACCTGATCCACAAGCGGTTGCATCAAACATTGGAATCGATCGCCGTCCAGGAATCCATGATTGTCGTACAAGAGACACTTGTGTAAACAATCCAGAAGGTAATTTAGTAGAAGACATGTCAGGTGTGTTCCTCTATTCTTAGACACGTCTGGGAAGATGCCTTCTTCTATAGAAGTGGAAAGAAAACGGTTTATCTTTGGCAAAACTCTTTTTTTCTGACAGTGTAACAGGCATCTCCTATTTTGGCACAATAATCTAAACACGTGTCGTTTGGTACATAAACAAATTTTCCTGCAACTTTTGGCATTGACCTGTTATACGTTAGTGACCAGTCTAAACACCAAGGCCAAACAGTTTTGGCATTTTGCAACTTAACTGGATACAGCCTATCTTAAACCCTCTTCATTAACTTAACACAAAAAGAATCCTTTTATCTCCACTAGCAATTTTTTAGACCACTTACAGGCCATTTTCAGGTTGCGCAAGAGACTGGCTCGGTGTTGTGCCCTATTGCACTATGGGATTGAATTGAGGACGAATTTGGACTCAGTTTTCTGTGCAAGCTTCTAATAGCCAACTAATGAATGACAGCGTCATCCAAAACTGGCTCGTAGCGTAATTCGACAATAAACTGAGCCAATGTCTTGCGCAATATCAAAATGGCGTATACTGGGGATAATAACGTGCGGCTCTATGGCAGCCATCAAGTTCAACGTTTCTTATGAATTTACCTGTTTTGGAAATGTTGGACGCATCTAGCAAGGAAGCACAGTTCTTGACAAGATAACCAGCGAACAGCACAAACAAACCCTTCAGTTTAGCAGCCACGCTAGGAGTTGAATAAAACAAGATTAAAAGTAAGGCGAAATAGCGAGCAAACAGAGCATCGTAACACACAATAATTGACAAAATGTTCTTTACCTGTCGCACAGACGATAGAAAACAAGCAGCCGCTCCTTGCTGGAAGAAGACCTGGTCGCCCAGTCTATCAGCTGGAATGAAGTACCAGTTGTGATTACTTTTTCAGGCACCAAATTAACATCCTCTTGCAAAAAGACAAATATACTCTAACAGTCCTATAGATACTATGTGGCTCCAATTAAAGGAGGAATACCACTCTGAGCCCTTGCACAGACAAATAGAAAACATTTACCGTCTCTATCCCCTCCCTTCCCAACACACACCCTCCCCCCAGCCCAGCCTGAGAGCACAGACGCATTTACTGAAGTCACTAATCACCGCGCGGCCGCAAATTTGGTGAGTTGTTCCTTGTAAGTTAAAGCAGTTCTAACCGTATCATACAAACGAGAAAGGTCACTGAATAATTAGCTCGTCTCGAGATGCGCAGCGTTCTTATTCTACTTTCCGGGGAAATTTTTGACATTGTAGATAATCATCTTACAATATGCGAGATAGTTACTCGCAAAAATTGGGAATTGGAACTTGAAAATCCAAGCTCCTATTAGCAAACCCAACTATTTTGGAGCTAAACAATAGAGCATTAACAGACACGCCCTGTCGGCTTCAGAGGGAAAGCCTTGACCTTTTAATATATCATTAAACAATAAATCAAACACAACAAATGAACACATACCCGTAGAAACATTGGTCTGAAGGATACTTCAGACAGTTTGACCACTAGACACAAAAATGCTTCGATAACTCTACCCTCTGTCTTGTCTACTAAATCATCATCGTCCTGAAATATGCCAAAGAAATAAGAGTTAATAGACTTACATGTACTTTAGAGTCCGTGGAGTCTTAATAAACCTTCATCATATAAAACAAAATATATATTTGAAATTCCTACTTCCTGGGTGTGTTGCACTCTAAAATCCAGCACTTCCAAAAACAAGCTAAACAGGTTTGACTGGTGGGTTTTGATATCCTCCTTCGTCATGCCGCTAACACAATCTGCAAGTAGGCTCATAAGTGACACCACACACTCCTGAAGGAGAAAAAAAGACAGTCCTAGTTTATCCCTCGCTCTCTCACAGATTGCCCAGAGCAACTTCGAAAATTTTACACATAAACACGTATTCTCTCACACCTTGTGTTTTATTACAACTTTGTGGTAACACTCGGTCACAGCAGATATCAGTACTCTAGGAGATATCTTGGAAGACAGCTCTTTCCTGTCGCAAGAGAAAATTAAGCAAAACGGAATGAGTGTAACCTTGGGATGGTGAACAGCTATTGTTTCAAGGAGAGGCTTCTCTTTTCATCTAGAAAGCGATCACTAACACGCGTAATACTCATTGATATGGCCAAATCTGTGCATACAGCTCTCGTTGCTGTGCACTGGCAAAATCAAGTGTAACAACCATCGCATTGAGGAGAAACCGTGCTTCGCCTTGACTTCAGTTATGGAGAGGACTTAAGCAACGACGAGGGTGACAGCACAAACAAAATGCTTATAATAATTATCGGCAGAAACCAACGCGCTGCAAACAATTCATTCTTGAAAATCTGTTTAACGTTTTGGCAAAACGACAACGTCAGAAATACGAGAGCTCAAAAATTAGCAAAATGGCAGGTTATGTGAAGAATGTGAATTCTTGAAATGAATTCACATTTGCATTTTAGCCTTAAACGCTATCCCGACCATTTCATTCTGTATAACTCAGCTACATTGTAAAAGTTAAAATAGCTGTTATTTTGACAAAGAAGAAGGGAACTGGAACCGAATAGTGTCCCGCAATTGTTTCTGGGATGGTTATTGGGGATGAGCCGGTCAGCTATTGGCTAATTTTTTCCTTTGTTCCTAGTAACAATCCCAGAAGTCTTTGCGAAAATTAACCCGGCCCTGGGGCCCGTTTCTCGAAAGTCCCGATAATTAACGGGCCCGGTAAGCTGTTGCCGTTTACATTAAAGACCGCGGTTTCAGTAGTTTTGCATCTAACATGATAAAACTATCAGTTAATGAAACAAAATGGAGTAGTTTTCTAGCCAGGACCCAAGCTCTTATTTTTTAATTTCTATTTGAATATTTGATTTCGGGCCCGAAACGTTACCGAGACTTTCGAGAAACGGGCCCCAGACTCCTTCTCACGAATGGCATGTACGTGGTTGTTAACCTCCCTAGTGATGCCATGCCAGACAGATAACGCAACTCTTATCTAAAAAAACTGAGCAAATTAAATAAACTCAATACAAGAATAATTCTTCAAACCTCAGTGCAATCAAACGATCCTTTAGTTGCAAATCCAGTGAGGCCTGCTTTGTAACCTCGGCTTGTTCTTCTAGACTCTCAGTAACCTGGCCTTCTGTAAGTGAAGAATTTGTTGCCTAGAAAACAAAATTAAAACTCATTCTAGCTGTGAAGACGAAAAAGACACGACTTGAACTATTTTCTGCATTGGGATACTCGACGACAGCACCACTGAATAGCCCAGATTAGAGTATCATTCAGACCGGTAACTGGAAATTGAGTTTTCTAACAATACTCCTACACAACTGGCAGGGTAGTCACAAAGATTTTAAGTGGAACGAGAATAAGAGAAAGTAGCCGACATGTGATCCCCGGCAAGGCCACTAGGGAAGACATATCACTATTGATATATACAGTTCAATCCAAGTTGGTAGCAGCTGTCAAACATGATAGCATCTCAGCGAAACTTTGGTGCAAGAATGCAAAGACGTCAGATAGAAAGCGAGATACAAATCACACAACAGATGGTTCAATCAGAAATGCGAAACAAAAAAAAAGAACTTGCAATCCCTAGGCGACAAAATTTCTCATAACATTAATAATTCAAGACTGAGACAACCACTGCGAGTACAGAACACACATCACTAGGGATATGTGTTTCCCAAGTAGGGGAACACATATCACTAGGGATATGTGTTTCCCAGGTGGGCGAAAACATATCACTAGGGATATGTGTTTCCCAGGTGGGGGAACACATATCACTAGGGATATGTGTTTTCCAGGTGGGGGAACACATATCACTAGGGATATGTGTTTCCCAGGTGGGGGAACACATATAACTAGGGATATGTGTTTCCCAGGTGGGGGGACACATATCACTAGGGATATGTGTTTCCCAGTTAGGGGAACACATATCACTAAGGATATGTGTTTTCCAGGTTGGGGAACACATATTACTAGGGATGTGTGTTTCCCAGGTGGGGGAACACATATCACTAGGGATGTGTGTTTTCCAGGTGGGGGAACACATATCACTAAGGATATGTGTTTCCCAGGTGGGGGAACACATATCACTAGGGATGTGTGTTTCCCAGGTGGGGGAACACATATCACTAGGGATAGTGTTTCCCAGGTGGAGGAACACATATCACTAGGGATGTGTGTTTCCTAGGTGGGGGAACAAATATCACTAGGGATTTGTGTTTCCCAGGTGGGGGAACACATATCACTAGGGATGTGTGTTTTCCAGGTGGGGGAACACATATCACTAGGGATATGTGTTTCCTAGGTGGGGGAACACATATCACTAGGGATGTGTGTTTCCCAGGTGGGGGAACAGATATCACTAGGGATATGTGTTTCCCAGGTAGTGGAACACATATCACTAGGGATGTGTGTTTCCCAGGTGGGGGAACACATATCACTAGGGATGTGTGTTTCCCAGGTGGGGGAACACAAATCTTTAGGGATGTGTGTTTCCCAGGTGGGGGAACACATATCAATAGGGATATGTGTTTTCCAGGTGGGGGAACACATATCACTAGGGATATGTGTTTCCCACTTAGGGGAACACATATCACTAGGGATATGTGTTTTCCAGGTGGGGGAACACATATCACTAGGGATATGTGTTTCCCAGGTGGGGAAACACATCTCACTAGGGATATGTGTTTCCCAGGTGGGGGAACACATATCACTAGGGATGTGTGTTTCCCAGGTGGGTTTACACATATCACTAGGGATATGTGTTTCCCAGGTAGGGGAACACATATCACTAGGGATGTGTGTTTTCCAGGTAAGGGAACACATATCACTAGGGATGTGTGTTTCCCAGGTGGGGGAACACATATCACAAGGGATGTGTGTTTCCCAGGTAGGGGAACACATATTACTAGGGATGTGTGTTTCCCAGGTGGGGAAACACATATCACTAGGGATATGTGTTTCCCAGGTGGGGAAACACATCTCACTAGGGATATGTGTTTCCCAGGTGGGGGAACACATATCACTAGGGATATGTGTTTCCCTGGTAGGGAAACACATATTACTAGGGATATGTGTTTCCCAGGTGGGGGAACACATATCACTAGGGATATGTGTTTCCCAGGTGGGGGAACACATATCACTAGGGATATGTGTTTCCCAGGTGGGGGAACACATATCACTAGGGATATGTGTTTCCCAGGTGGGGGAACACATATCACTAGGGATATGTGTTTCCCAGGTGGGGGAACACATATCACTAGGGATATGTGTTTCCCAGGTGGGGGAACACATATCACTAGGGATATGTGTTTCCCAGGTGGGGGAACACATATCACTAGGGATATGTGTTTCCCAGGTGGGGGAACACATATCACTAGGGATATGTGTTTCCCAGGTGGGGGAACACATATCACTAGGGATATGTGTTTCCCAGGTGGGGGAACACATATCACTAGGGATATGTGTTTCCCAGGTGGGGGAACACATATCACTAGGGATATGTGTTTCCCAGGTGGGGGAACACATATCACTAGGGATATGTGTTTCCCAGGTGGGGGAACACATATCACTAGGGATATGTGTTTCCCAGGTGGGGGAACACATATCACTAGGGATATGTGTTTCCCAGGTGGGGGAACATATATCACTAGGGATATGTGTTTCCCAGGTGGGGGAACATATTTCACTAGGGATATGTGTTTCCCAGGTGGGGGAACACATATCACCAGGGATATGTGTTTCCCAGGTGGGGGAACATATATCACTAGGGATATGTGTTTCCCAGGTGGGGGAACATATATCACTAGGGATATGTGTTACCCAGGTGGGGGAACACGTATCACCAGGGATAGGTGTTTCCCAGGTGGGGGAACACATAACACTAGGGATATGTGTTTCTCAGGTGGGGCACACATATCACTAGGGATATGTGTTTCCCAGGTGGGGGAACATGTATCACCAGGGATAGGTGTTTCCCAGGTGGGGGAACACATATCACTAGGGATATGTGTTTTCCAGGTGGGGGAACATGTATCACCAGGGATAGGTGTTTCCCAGGTGGGGGAACACATAACACTAGGGATATGTGTTTCCTAGGTGGGGGTACACATATCACCAGGGATATGTGTTCTCCAGGTAGGGGAACACGTATCACTAGGGATATGTGTTTCCCAGGTGGGGGAACACATATCACTAGGGATATGTGTTTCCTAGGTGGGGGAACACATATCACTAGGTATATGTGTTTCCCAGGTGGGGGATCACATATCACTAGGGATATGTGTTTGCTATGTAGGTAAACACATATCACTAGGGATATGTGTTTCTAGGTTAAGGGGACACATATTACTAGGGATATGTGTTGGCCAGGTTGGGAAGGTGCTTTACAAGAAAGAATATGCAGGGCAATTAAAACAATTTCTTTTTCCTTTTTTATTAAACGACTTTTTTCTCCGTTTTTTTTTTTGCATTTTTCCAATAATGTGCAGGCGGCAATAGCACCGGTTGCCGGTGGATATTGACAGCTGACTGACATATTCCATCCCTTTTCACAGTCAGCTCAGTCAAAGATGGACACCTTAGTGTCTAAGAGAGGCGTTCGCCGTCTTATAGAGACAGGGTCCAACTCTAGGTGTGTAAAGAGGTTTCGGTCAAGGGAGAGTTGACTGTAATCTTATTCCACACATAAACTACTCTACCTACCAGTTTAAACTCTGCGACTTACAGATAAACCTTAAACAATACATTGTTGACTACAAAGCAGACATGTAAAAAACGTATTCTGCTTGCAAACGCCACATTACATTATGACCAATATGTCAACATGGGCTGCCTGTGAAGAAAAATGGACTCAAAACAGGGTACCCACCTGAATGAGTAGATCCACCAAATAAGGACTCAAGAAGTGAGGAAGGGCTTCGGTGGTCTTGTGAAGAGTAGTAGCACAACAGAGTGTCAGCAAACTGTTCCTAACAAAACACATAAAAAACCATCAGTCAAGTATCAAGTCATATGAACAAGCATTTTCTTTTTCAAGAGCAAACACCACAGTGTACGCTTAGCGCACTTCCCAAGTTCGATTCTCCACGCTCATGGCTTCAGTCCGCTTTTCCTTCTGCCAAGAAGAGCGTCCTTAGGGCTAGACAAGGGCTCATTTCCGGTACAGTCAAACCTCCACTTCACGGACACCCATTCAATACAGACACCTCATCATTACAGACAGTTTGATTGGTCTCTGGGGAAAAAAAGCCCCTTAATACCGACACCCCTTTAAAATAGACGTTTTCTATGGCCCCCTCAGTGTCCATATTAACAGTGTTTGACTGTACTTACTGTCTGGTAACAGAGCGTCGGAACTCCTATATAAACTATATTGTAGGTATGTTTGGCCCTAAAAGGTGTGGTTTATTAAAGCCCTGTTTTTTGGCCTGGTGCCTTTTAAACAAGTCAAAGAAATAGCAGCAAACTGATCCTTAAATTTTCCTAGTAACCACGCCCAGGCACTCCTGCATGAACTATAATTGGTCCTAAAAAGAAGTTTTAGGACCAATAATTATAGTTCATGCTGTGTAGTTTATCAAAGCTCTGTTTTTGGTCTGGTCGTCTACTTCTCTACTGCTCACAGCACTGGAGAGGCAGAGGTGGGTACAAAATCTTTAATAGTACCTTTCTTTTTCAGTTCTTTTCATTAACTTCAGGACAGAAGGCATTAGCTGTGGTAAGAAAGGAATGGCATGGACTTGAAGACTACTAATCACTTCTGCTGCACACAGCAGTGCACTGGAGGCAACCTAAAATACATGACAAAGATCACAATTAATCTAAACAACATCACATATGATGCTGTACAAAGTGGGTTATATTTTACTGTGACCATTCAAATGAAAGTTTATAAGTAGTATTATTTGTGGTACTGTAAAATAGGCAGAGATTGTGGTTCCAACTCTTCAGTCTGTGTATGATATTCTGAGCTCTGACAGTTGAAATAATACACAGCAAGTACTTTGTCGCGGTTGCTGATTATTGCTATGCCTATGTTTCCATACACCAGAGCACAGGTCTCAGTTTGAATGGTTGAGAGAAGGGGGGGAACTCTTCTCTTCCCAAATGTTACTTCCCCGCACCTCCCAATTCCCCAGGGGTTATCCACGGGCAACCCAGGCATAACTGACCTGCACATTAGCATCTTTGGACGAAAACACTTCAATAGATGTGGACATCACCTAAACAAACAAAACACAACAAAATTTGAGTCGCTGATTCACTTCAACAATACAACATATTTTGTAACATTACTGCTGTGGTGAAGAGTGAGGAAAAGTGACACACCTCCTTAAAAGGACTTGGATGGTCTTTTGCCAACAGTCGTGAAAGAAGCTTTAAACTGTAGAGAGCTGTTTGTCTGTTTATAATGGATTCTTCACTTTCCCCTGTGCCTCTTGATATCAGAAGTAACTCAGCCAACAGGTTAAGAAGTATCCCAACCTATAAAGACAGCAAAGAAAATTTGGAAACTCAAATTTCTAGCAAAGTCCATACTTGCAGTACCTAAAAAGGATGACATACATGCAGATACAAACATACATGACTTAATTTTATCTCGAATTTACAGAGTAGCTCAAAAGTTAATATCTTGTGCTTTTGAATCAACAATAGTTTTATCATGATTACATGAGCTGATGTCAAAACTTTCCACTGCCATGTGGTTTTAGCACACCTGACAGCAAAAAAGCTTTTCCACATTGCGAGGGAACTGGAATGGACTCTTGATTCAGGTAAAAGTAAGGTCCTTATTTTACGTTGTTACATGTGACTCGTTAGATTGTGAGCACCCTCTCTTTTTCTTCAGATTTTGTCGTGCCTCTCCTGTCTTGCGCCTTCAGCCTCGCACGTGGTCATTTGTGTGTCTCGGACATTTCGCTCAACGGACCAAGAAAAAAGAGAGAGTGTTCGTAGTCTAGTGACTTGTTACAGTACACATTAGACTGACAAACCTTAGGCGGATGGTGCGCTCATTTTACTCCCCCCCTCTCTCTACATCAGTTCTCTGTTTTATGGGTATTTAAAGCAACTTAAAGCTACACACAAAGGAAAGAAGTCACACAGGTATTTGTGGTCACACCTGGGAATCGAACTCCGGACCTCTCGCACGATATAGACTGTGTACTAACCGCCTCTGCTAATCCTTGCTTCTTAGAAGTCTTAAGTTAGCTGGCTAGGAGTCTTACAACAGCCCAACCTTTCTGATGCTTAATAGAAGAACCATTTGATTTACTGATTATAGGTACCCAAAAGTGTCAAGGGTAAAATACCTGATCTTCAGAAATGCTCCCTGCATATTGGCTCAGTTTACTATTCAACAGTTCCATTGCTTTACGCCTGACTGTAGAACTGCTGCTGTGTAGCAGCTTCTTTATGACATCGAAAAATACTGAGGTAGGCAAGAGAAGGTTAACCTGGAAAAGAAAGGTAGTTTTCATGGTGAAAAACAATAGATAACACCACAACTCAAGTCTGAGCAAAACTGATTCAGCTCCATTTGGTCACGACTTTAAACATCTCCTCTAAGACACCTCTACAATTCTAATGCCTCACAATAAATGGACAGTTTCCTTGGTCCAAAAGTTGACAAACTAAATACAATGCTTACTTTTTAAACACAGACATATGAGGTTGTCTTCTTGGCCATATATCTACAAACTGAGCTAACTTTGGTATACAGCCCCGCTGCATACAGATGTCATTTGAGAAAATTTCATTTTGGAGAGTTTACAAAATACATGGTATGACTTACTTTATCAACAATTTCATAGGTTTTGTGCAGCATTGCTTTCCAGAATTTCCCGCTAGCATCATGAGGTGTATGTTCACTGTGCTGAGCTACTTTAGTCATAAAGTTCAGAGTATCTTCCAGTAATCTGAAATGACAAAAGTAACTAGGGTCAATACATGGTCCTATGATTGACCTCCTAAAAGCGCAGTTCACTGAACTGCTGGCACCCATCTTTAATCGAGATGACTTCATAATAATTTCATAAAGGATGTCCCTCCACCTCACGTACTTGAATTAATGAGAGAATAGCACGCTGTCTACTACACACATGACTTGGGAACTTTTCAAAAATACACTTACAACTCAACACCTCACCTGGCTTCTTTTTTGATTCACTATCAGTAATAAAAAAAACCAACAACAAAATGACAGAGTACCTGAGAAACAGTGTGTTTAAGATTTCTCCCTCTTCATGGACCTGTAGAAAGATGTATCAAATTTTGGTGTTGAATTAAGGTCACTACAACTAGACACTACATAATCTTGCCTGAAGGGTTACTCCCCCTTAGATATGTATGCAGCTACGAGCTAGCTATGAACTGTATAATGGGGCCATGACAATGAAACAACAGATCAAGAATGAGGTATCCATATTCAAGAAAATTCAAGCAGGTATAATACAATTTCTAACACAGGAAAGCTTCACAATACACTAATACAAGTTTACAGTAACGGGTATTTAAGATTTGCCAATTTCTATAAGAGGGTACGTATCACCTTAAATACAAATCCTACTCGTACACCCAAAACCTACTCGACTCCCCCCTCCCCCCCAGCCCTGGAACCAACCTTCCACCCTAAAACCTTTGCACTGACCTTGCTAACAAAGTCTTCACTGTCAAGAAGGGAGGGTATAAGGGTCAGGCAAGTGTACTTGAACTGCCGCAGATGTTTTGCAGAGTGCTTGTCTACATCAAAGACAGGTATTACAGCCAGGAAGGTGCTGGCAGATTTCCGACTCATCCTAGGCTTGTGACGAACTAAGAAGAAGTGTAAGGGTCATTAGACAGTACTAAAGCAAAGAAGAGACTGGCGATTGTGTGGTTGAACAAATAAACCACAAAAATAACAATACAACTTGCAAACAATACTGTGTTTATTGTAAATTGACAATTCATTCAGTTGTTCATTCTGTTGGTTAGTCAACCAATAAGCTGTGGTCAAGCAAACAGTTTTTTACTACCTTATTTATTTTGCATAGTTGGTAAAGCCAGTGTCAGAAAGTGACTCAAACAGTGATTTTTCTTCTCAAAAGGATCACTCCTTCAAACACGGGGAATACACTTTTCATCAGCCACTGGACTTAACAAAATGGAAAATGTCTCATAAAACTAAAAATCTTGTATTATCTACGGTCGTAATGAAAGATAAACTTAACTCTTTAAGCCACAGTATCCACCTACAAATTCTCCTTTCATTTTTTGCTGTATTCATTCTCATAATGTTTTCTCTTGATTATGTTTTAATATTGTTAAGAGCAAATTGACATTGATCACTCAGTCATGTAACTTACCTTCAGGTTTTTCAAGTGGCAATTGATCAATAAACTGCAAAAGCTTTAAGATGGCCTCAACCTTAAATAAACAACAAAAGGCAAGAGCAATAAAAATAGCAAGAGTCAATTAAGATACAGCAGGGCTGTCACTAGGATTTCAAGTTGCCACCTACATGTAATTAGTAGCAAGGCTGTGATATAAGGAAAATTGTAGGGAGCCAAGTGCTATGAACGTGTAAAATCTAGGGTGCCCAGCATATGATTTGTATCAAAAAACTAAGATTATCTAGTCACCCAAGAGTAAAAGTTAGGTGCCAGGGCCCACCAGGCTCTGCTAGAGCATAGCCCTGAGTAGGTGGGGAATTCAACAGCTATGAAGTTCTCTTGGCTGTGTTTTCCATTTGTTTGCTGTGAAATTAGTTGTGAGACATGCTCATAGAAGCCAGGGGAAATCCCTAGCCCCCAGCCCCCAGCCCCAAGTGACAGCCTTGTAAAGGAACTAATCGAAGGTGTCAACTAAAGCAGTGCTGATGAGTATAACAGCCCAAGTGACTTCCAATTTGATATTACATTCTTTTTCCACAATAAATTACCTGGTGTTAGTTAGTTAATGAAACAAAGGGAGAATTTAAAATTGGATCAGGAGTCACTCGAGGCCTCTCTCCATGCACTACTTCTTTTTTTCAAGTTGTAGTTGTAAACAGTACCTGGACGTGGGAGTCAAAATTGTGGCAGAGGCTCAGACAAAACTCCACTCCAAGAGGATTCTTAATGCCAACCTGTAATGGGATTAAACAAAGAATTAAAACGTGTAATTAATCAATGAAAAACACCTTTGGAACAAGTACTAATAATGCCTTAGAGGAAGTAATGTGCAACTAAGAGAACCTATCATCAAATGAGACAGGCTCTCGGCTCTGATGTCTCTATTATAAAGATTGTACACCTGATAAATGGGTCTTTTTAGAGGATTTGACTGCATAAGGCAGGCTATATATAATAGAGTGAGGACAGGTTATAATATCATGCAAAAGTATTAATAACCCTAATGCATGTTTAGGTCAGTTGAGCAAATTTTACCACCAAGCCTTGTTTTAAAATTGTACAGTTTCAAAGTTTTGAATGAAAGATTTCCCAGGCAACAGAGTTAAAGAGAATACTCACGTCCAAAGAATATTTTGCTTACAAACAAGGCTTGGTGATGAAATTTGCCCATCTGATGTAATCAGGCATAAGGGCCATTATATTGTTAATCCTAGATAATCCTATGGGAATCTATTTCTGGTTGACTTCAACACAAACCTGTTTGTCTCCATCAGGATTGCTTGCACCATGAACCACATGCCTCTCAAGCAACAGAAGAACAGCAGTATGAAGAAATTGAAGGGAACCAAGTGTACTGATAAGATGTGTAAAGAGTGGAAGCTGACGGTGTTCAGGGATGTGAGGGGATGCATCAACAAATACTCTTATCAACATGGCTACGATATCATCCAGTGATATACCACCCTTCTTCATGAGCTGAGGTAGTTGATGCTTTTCACCAGCCTGTAAGGAAAGATAGGTCAATATATTTATTTTTCATGTTAAAACTTAATTGGAAGCAACCATAGGAGCCTACAATCCTAATCTCCAGGCTGTTATCAAGCATAATGCATGGCATGTACATGTATGTGGCCAGCACTCGTTTGGACTTTCAATGAGAGAAAATGAAATAAATAGAACACAATCTCATCATGCGTGTTTGGACTTTCATCACGCTGAAATCTGATCATGCATGTTTTGACCTTCTATCACATGAAACTTATGCAAAGCACAGCATTAGATCAAGAACATTTTGCACTTTGATGAATCTCACTAGTTCACTGGTCCATCTCACACCCATAAAATCTATCTGTAGGTCAGTCGATGTGCTGCTGTCAGTCAGTCTGTCTGTCTGTCTCCCTTCTGTCCATCAGTAGGTCTTTTAGTTACCAGAGCAGTCAGTTTGATAGTCAGTCAGTAAGCCAGGTAAGTAAGGCAGTTTGGTAGCAGGTGAGTGCATGAAAGTCAATTGTATCAACAAGTCAGGCAGTCATCTGCCAGTCAGAAATTCATTAAGTCACGTCAGGCAGTATGACTGTTATTCAGGCAAATACAGCAAGTAGCTGCTCTGATCAATCAGATTTATCAGTCAGTCAAGTAGCTAAATCAGACATGCAATAGGTCTGCTTGTTCCTTGCTCAATCACAGAATCATTTACTGGTACATGTAGCTTGTATAAGACATTGATCAATCCAGTGTCAGAAAGTAACTCAACATGTTTTTTTCTTCTCAGAAGGAATTTGCTTTCCTTCAAACACGGGGAAAACGTTTTTCATCACTCACTGGACTTAAAGCAGTCTGGGTACGATAACAATACGAATAGTATAAGTGATAATAAGTATTGTCATTCATTCAAAATATTTCCCTGTTTCCGATTGGTTAAAATCCTGCGTATAATTCATCATAACCAGCTACTGTTGACAACATTTGGAAGAATTTGTGTGCAGCAAAATTACCAGATTATTGAACAGTTAACCAAGAAGACCTGGGGAAGAGGTTGAGTTGTTTTGGTAGTGAGGACAAAACGGCAAAACATTTCACTCGTTTCAAGAGGAAGAAATAGGCAAACTATTGGCTAAAAACATAGCAAGAATACAACTCGACGGATGACATCTGCTATTTGGAGGATATTTGCAGAACTGAAAAAACCCCTTTATCTTCTAAAAACTTGCCAATAAACAGGCATTATCAACAATGAACTTGATGGAGGTAAGCATGTTTTAGCTTGTTTTAAAACTGGGAATTTACTTTGAATGAATAATAAGACAATAATAATTATTATTGAATTTGGCTTTCGTATCATCTGAAGAATTAGGGAGATCGAGGAGGGTGTTATCCACCAAGGCTGTAAGCACTAAAGCACTACAATAGTCACGTACTTGGATCAAAGCTGGAATAACTGTATCCAGTGTTTTAGTGATGACTTCAAAGCTGTAGCTATCATCCTTACGTACAACACTAGCACCCATAAACGTGAAGATTGGCATCACATTATGCAACACCTTTTCCTGTAAGAAATGTTACAATTTAAATTCCACTAAATTATCATCAGTCTAACTTAATTGGGTTAGCAATTACTATGAACAATACAACCATAAAAATATAATCCTTGTACACTGAACATTCAGTGGGGGGAAGGTGATAAGTCTACATTGTCTAGACCGGTCTTAATAGTTCAAATGTTGGGTATAAGCACTATGCACTGGATGAATGAGTCTTCAGTGGATACCTGTTAATGGACCAGTTGTGTTATCTGCTGGAGAAAGATTTATCTGGTGGTTAGCTTTAGAGCTGGAGTCAGAAAATTGCTACACCATCCCTGGGTAGTGTTCCTTTGAATGCATACAGGCAAACCGGAGACAAACACGCAACCCTTTCAATGCCATTCATTACTGACACATAAAGACCATTAAATTCATCTGCAATGATTTTTGAGCCACTGTTGAAAAAGTCTTGCTGCAACAGTAACAGTACATTGTATAAGAGTGGAGACAGAAAAAATGTACTTACTGGAAAGAACTTTGCTGCTGTTGCAAGTAACAACAGAGCTTGATTGTGAGTTTGTGGACTTTCAGAGGACCTTATACATTGTACTATCAGCTCAACATCAAATTGATCCTCAGGGACAACATCTGCTGAAAGGAAAGAATTTTTTAGTAAGAATATTTCAAACATTTTAACCCTCAAGTATGCAAGAGACAAAAGGTAGAAAATATAATATAATATAGCAATAACTGCAAGAGGTGAAGGTCACCACCTATACGGTAAAACATGTTAAAGATGGTGATTAGATAATAAGTCAGTGCAATTTCCCTACCCTTTTGCTTTATAGGCCATGTCAACACGAATCCAGATANTACTTACTGGAAAGAACTTTGCTGCTGTTGCAAGTAACAACAGAGCTTGATTGTGAGTTTGTGGACTTTCAGAGGACCTTATACATTGTACTATCAGCTCAACATCAAATTGATCCTCAGGGACAACATCTGCTGAGAAGAAAGAATTTCTTAGTAAGAATATTTCAAACATTTAAACCCTCAGGTATGCAAGAGGCAAAAATTAGAAAATATAATATAATATTGCAATAACTGCAAGAGGTGAAGGTCACCACCTATACGAAAAAACATGATAAAGATGGTGATTAGATAATAAGTCAGTGCAATTTCCCTACCCTTTTGCTTTATAGGCCATGTCAACATGAATCCAGATGTTTTTGAAACCACATAAGTATATTAATTTACACAGATCGACCTTCCATCCACAAGACACCAGTGAATCTGCTCACCAAAACTGCATCATTTTGAAACTGCCCTCCAAAACCCCCTCCACAGAAATGCGGGTAAAACGAAATCTGGTTTCAAAAATGTCCAGATTCTTGTGGAGGGTGCCTTATAACCATCCAGTCATGTGCCTTACCAAGAAACTCACCTGCACCAGAGAGTTTGTCACAGATACTGTTGATCAGGGAAAATACAAGCTGCATGATATATTCTGAGGCCACCTGACTATGATCCAGCTCTACACATCTGCGTGAAGTCAATACATCAACAAGTTAATATCAATATCTGCCTTTTTACACACAAAATACAGAATACACTGTGCAAAATAAAGAGTATGCATGCATGTTATCTGACCTTGACAAGTGGGTTTACATTATTTTAGAAGGGTGCTAACATTTTCAGAATTCAAAAACATCAAGATTTTACAGTGCATGTCAAAAGGAAGAGAATGAATATTTAGTGGATTCATGCATACCTGGTAAGAGTGCCAAATAAAGTCAGCAAAAGCCTGTGTGGTTCTTCAATGTTGATCTTATGCTGCAGAAGCTCTAGGATGACTGTTACTCTTTGAAGCTGATTATTTGCTTCATTTTCCTCAACTTTCTGTTGCTGTTGCGACCTTAATGGGAAAACAAAAAAAGGCAGTAAAATAAAATATAAGGGCTATGCATGGTTATTGTACAGGTAAGTAAGAAATGAGAAAGTACAACATAAGTTAAATTAACTTCATCTAGAATAGACTGAAGAATTAAAGCATTGGTCTATGAACCTCAGTAGCAAGAAAAGGAAGTAAAAGCTGATCTACATAACAAATATTTCATTTCAGTTGATAATTTTCATGGTGTATTATGTGACTTTGCCAATACAGTGTATGTTATACTAACCCCAACAATTACCTTTTACAAAAGCTGAACAATGGCCATTAGAAATTGAATACCCTTATCAGATTCTTGGGTAACACACCAACCTTTTTACTTTCTTCTTCTTTGGCTTGTTCTCATTGTCTGTATTCAACTTCAAAATTTCCTCAGTTATCAGATCTGCTGTTAATGTGAGCTAAATAAAAGAAGAAATAATATTATCATTTTTCCATCTTTGCCAGCCCAATAAACTTATATGTACATCCTAAGCCAAAAGCAACAAAATATTAATGGGCAAAATAAGAATATCTGCTTAGCATATAGTACAACGAACAGCTACCAAAAGCCTAACAAAGATTAAAATGACTAGTAAAAAATTAATGTAATTTCCATTGGGTCATTATTCAAATATCTAACCATACTGAAGTTGGTACATGTTGGTGTTAAGTTTGACTTTTATTATTAAACCAATCAAGCTCACATAACACCTCACCTTCAAAATAGTATTTTTGACTGCATTGCCTACAGTGACATCTTTTGTTTCAAACAATGTGTCGACGAGACTCTTGAACAAATGCTGCCGTAGCTCCCCTGCTGGCAGTGCCTGGAAAAATCTGTTTGAAACTTGGCCAAGAACTGTCATAATAGGTGGTGGGTGTCTAGGACACACGCTTGTTGTTAGGGACATTATCCTTGATAACAACTCCCAAGGGGAAGACTCTAACTGCAGCAGGGCGGCAGTATGTGTCGTATACTTCTGCACTATCAGCTGAAGCACAATGCTTTCATCTTCCGTCAAGGCAGGTGTGTTGTCACTGCATTTTTGTAACAGCGTTTCCAGCAGTGGCAAAAGACTCTGCAAAATATCCTACATAAAGAACAAAACATGTGTGAAAGTCTTAAGTACAGGATTTCATCCAAAGATTTAAAAGTTAGGGTGACACATTATATCTTCTTCAACGTTACTTTCGTATGGTACTATTTCATTAGTATGTACATTGTAGTTCTAAATTTGGAGTCTGTGGGTGAAATCCTGTGGTGTTACCATTCATATTAGACCTCTTTAGGTGCTCTGTCAATTGCTGCTATATGTTTTAAGTATCTTACAGAATTAAATTTGGCATTCTTTTGGGGAACTCTCAGCGATCCAAAAGTCCTCCCCTATGGTATAGTCACCTGCCTAAAGTTTTACCTAAAGTCATATATACTGTACATGAAAGCTAATCAAATCCCTACCTGGGTATCCACTTTTCTCAAAGATGAAAGAATGATTCTTCTGATGTAAGAAGGCACGTCACTGGAAACCAAATGTTGTAAAAGATATTTCAGTGTGTTCTTCGCACCCCTTATTTCAGCAGAATCCTTTGGGCGTGGCTTGTCATGTGGTGACAAAGGCTTAAAAAATTCACCAAAAACCTTTGAAAGCTGTTCAGGGTCAGCAGCCAGTTCTTCAGCATTTTCCGTCAGTACTCTAACTAATGCAGTAATGGTGACTGCTTGGGATCCCTGTGGAAGCTTTGAATTGAGAGTTTTGATGCAGGCAATGGCTGATTTCCTGACTGATGATACAGGGCTGCATAATGGAACAATTAAGGAAGGAATCACTGAAAAGAAAAAAAAAATTGGTAAATCTTATTTTTTATTTAAGTAACCTTAAAAAAGTTATATTTTAAGAAAAATGTAGCTGTTATATGTAGATTCCAGATCTAATCAAGATAGTTAGTAAACTGCTGTGGTATAAAACATGGTGATGTAGTAGTCAACATGTCAGACTTTGTGAAATGCCACCGGTGAAAGCCTCTCTACTAGCTAGCACAGCTACTCCAATTGGAAGGCTCTCTCTTCTTAGATCACTCTTTCTGATGCCTGCTAGGAATTTTTTATCCCTCTACATTAAACTTTCTGGAGAACCCTACCAATGATTACACACCTGTGCATGTTGCCTTAAACAGCTCCTTGACTGTTTTTCCCGACACAGAGCTAAGACAGACATTTGCAATGTGGAGACATTGTACTTGAAGTAGAGCTGACACACTCTCCTCTCCCCTGTTGGGTGGTTTACACCACAGATGTCCCAGAAACTTCAACAAGACAACCTTGTCAGCAAGCTGGAACTGAAAGATAATATTACCAGGACAAAAAGTCATGAACTATTTAAAACACTACTACTTGAAATTCTGTTAGTTTGTACAGGGAACTGCAAAAAGTATACAGTTTAAAGTAAATCCTTCATCTCAGGTTAAATAATTCCATGATTTGTCAGACTGTAAGTAAAAAACACAATGCTGCAGTTTTCCCATTGACTGAGCCATTGACTCTTACATTTTTATTCAAACTGTATTTTGTTACACAAAGTTACCTCTCTCTAATGGGAAAGAAATTCTGCTTATATTGAATATACTGGACAAGGCTTTCAAGACTGATACAGTATAGCTTTCAAAGGATAACTGTGAGAGGGTTTGACTTCACTCTCAATGCCAGTGAGAATTCTTCTTTTAAAAAAATACAAGGCAAGTGAGAGCAAGTGAAAGGCCTTTAAATTAACCTTGACAAAATGAGCAAATAATACAAGAATGTGTCCTCTGTTATTCCCCATGCCATAAAACATACCTCAAATATCTCCTTCAGTAACGTTTTAAACTGCATTTGATGTGATGTTGATGTGCCACTCCCAAATGCCACCACCTCAAAGAGTGATACCAATAGCTGGATAGAAAAACAAATTATTACTTCACATGGGTCACCAAAATAAGTGAAAAAATAAAAGACTTGCTATGTAACCACTTTAATAGTGCTGAGGCTCACAACCAGAACAAAAGTCCCAACTTAACATATTAAAGAGTATTACTACAAACAAACTGTTAATCACCTTAGTGTAAAATCCTTCATCATAACTGGTATTTTCAGAGGACCACCAATGACCTGGAAAACCACATATATGAACCAAAATTAATATTTCATTGCCTTTCAAACAAGTAAAGGGTGGAAGGTTAAGAATGAGATTGGAGCTACCAGATTCTAGAAACTTTCCAAGATATTAAAGGTCTCCTTTCTGTTTTGATGGTTTGCATATCTAAAAATAGAACTTTAACTATTTTGGCCAGAAAATTTAATTTACCCCTAGATAATATACCTGTAGATAAATTACCTAATCTGCCCCCAAAATAATTTAATGTAAGGGTTTAAAATGTCAATGTTTATAGCCAAACAAACAGATCATCAGAATTAATAAAATACCTTAATGGAAATAATTAATAGAATGTCATTCTTTCGCATCGTATTTTCAAGAGAATTTGTTAAATAATAATAAGAACATACAGGTGAAGAAGAATGAAATTTACAGGAAATTCTCTTACCATTGGAAGCAGCTGATTTAGATGGTACGCTCTTCAACAAATTGCTACACAGCTGAAGTGTGATGGCCCCTATAGCATGATTCAATCGCTTGGTGCTGCGCTTTCCAAGAAACTTCACCAGACTGGTTAACAGTGGAAGTGGAACACTCCCACTTTCATCTTGTTCTGAAACTTCACTCTAAAAGGTGAAAAATAGTTCAAAATGAATCAGGAAGATTATAACAAGAATGTTTAAAGATAAGATAACTGATTTCATTTTTCTATTTCATTAAATTCAACATTACTCCCAGAGTGAATGTTAGAGTCTTGCATGGTGGTTCTAACTTTTACGTCTGTGGACGAAATCCTGCAGTGTGACCATTCAAATAAAAACCTGTTTGTCAGAACTTTAACATGGGGTTTTTTGTTTTTCACCATTTTACACAACAAAGTTTGAAAATCTTCATTTTGGCCAGACTGGAAAAAAGGACTTTCTGTTTTCAAGTCTCTGAAAGCAAGCAACCACTACACGACATAAGAAATGGTTATCCTTAATTTTCATCAAAATGACAGGGCATTTAAAAAAGGTTTAACTTTATAAACAGGCACATACAAACTACCTCAGGTGTGTCATAATTTCCTTGGAGTCTTGCTACTTTCCAAAGGTCAGGCATGATAAACCCTGCTACAATATGGCATAACGTCTCCTTAGATTGGCCTGTTGTCATGGATACCACCCTACATAACAGGCATTTTAGAAGTGGGTGAAACAGGCTCTCTTCTGCAAGATCCTTGGCATGACTCATCATACTTTGCACCTGACGGAAAAGAGGATATTAAAAAAAATCACACTNATACAAACTACCTCAGGTGTGTCATAATTTCCTTGGAGTCTTGCTACTTTCCAAAGGTCAGGCATGATAAACCCTGCTACAATATGGCATAACGTCTCCTTAGATTGGCCTGTTGTCATGGATACCACCCTACATAACAGGCATTTTAGAAGTGGGTGAAACAGGCTCTCTTCTGCAAGATCCTTGGCATGACTCATCATACTTTGCACCTGACGGAAAAGAGGATATTAAAAAAAATCACACTTATGTACCCCTCATGTGTTTGCAAAAATGATGAAAATAATGGCTTTAATATTTTAACCCTAGGTTTGCTCCTAGCCTGCATTTAAGTATCACATTTCACTTTTTTCACTTCATCTCCACATTTCAAACTTTAAAATCTGTGGAAAAGATCCTTTATCAATCAAATGGAAAAAAAATTAACAATAACAACAACAATAATAATTTTAAGATCCTAGGTACTCCTACTCAGCGGGAACTTTTCTGTTTTATTGGAAACAAAACCAATGAGCCATCAAAAAATTTTTGAACTTACTGTTTCTAACAGTTTTTTCTCCTTCAACTTCATCAGATTTTCTCCAAGCCAGTGGAATAACAGGCTGTTGGCCAAGGCAAGACTATCAGCATCAGAACTCTTGCTACACCTCTTCCATTCTAATTGTTGAGATATTTATTACACAAATACAAAATTACTATAAATTTTAAATTTATTACAACACTTCACCTAGTGTGCACCATCTGTCACTTGCTCACTCTGATGCATACAACCCCAAGTTATTAGTGCCACAGCAGAAAATTAAAACAAAAACTGCTCTGAAATTTGAGAAATATTTTATCGCTAAAATTGTCGCACAGCTGAAACAAAATTGCCTCTTCTGCTTCAACCTAAAATATTACACCATTAATGTGCTTCTTGGCTTAAAAGAAACGTGATCATTCTGTGACTGGAAACATCAATGTTTCATATAAATGTAGGCTACCTGAGACCAGTGCACTAGATGACACACTGGAAAATAAGCTAACAAACTACCTTTCTTTTTGACAAAGTCTTTCATTCCAGACAACAGAGGATGCTGGGCAGCTAGCACTGATTTGCTGACTGTCACTGAGAGGTGAACTGCTGTCACATGGGAATGACGATAAAGGAAGAAGTAGGGTAACAAGCCAAACAAGATACTGTCAACAAGTGTTGAATTAGCAGATATCCAGTCACCAACAAGCAACAGCAATGCTTCTTCTTTCACTTCATCCCTGTGAATTTACATGTGCATATATAAATATCTGTGATCTGAAAGTACATAGGTTGCTGGTAAAATCAGAAATGAAACTACTCAAATAATGTAAAAAATAAATAGGTTTAAGATCCATGAGCAGACACTATTGAAGTAGAAGGCTTCCCAGCCTATGGCCATCTCGAAATTTTTCTCCTTCCTAACCTGGGTGTCTGCTTATTATAAGAAGATTTTGTCTGTAAATTATTTAATTATGTATTAATGCTAACCAGTCGGAGGATCTCTTATTCAACAGCTTCAACACCTCTTGCACAAACTGAGAGCCAGGAAGATTATCAGCAAGGAGCTGGAAAAGAAAGGCAAGCACTTTAATCAGACTTCAATCACACCTTTTCCCTCAAATACACATTAATTTCCAATAAGGGTAATTACCCTTCTACAGAGCTAGATTTAATTTAGTAACAAACAGTGTCTCATATGAGCGTAATAAGGAAGATAAAAAGAAGCTGTAATCATGCTAGTTTATTATTAATATTTGGCTTCTTTGACATGGTGGTTGTTAAATTAACTTGTCATTCTTTATTATATCTAAAATGCCACAGGACAGTCTCTGAATGTACAGTATTAGAGACGTCCGCAGAGTCCACAAACCAACCTTGCCTAGCTTAAGCACACATGTAACAACCGCTGGATCATCATCTTGAAGTCGTGAAAGTAGAGACTCTGTAACAAACTGTTTGTCTTCTGGTGCTCCCTACAACATTATCAAGAAATTAAAAATGACCACCGTCAACAAAGCCTGGATAGTATTAGATCAAATCAATTTTTGGTATTTTATCCAAGGATGTCATTAAGATTTCAATTTTCCGAGCTATGCATATACAGTTAGTAACTGGGTAGGAAAAAAAGCGAAGCTGGGTAGGAAGAAAAGCTAGGAAATGGATAAATTTAAGTTTCTGGGAAACTGCCCACCTACCCCTCCCCTAAGCCAACATTAACAACTACTTCTCAGTAAGGGCAAAATGTTGGCTTAGGGGAAGGGTAGGTGGGCAGTTTCTCAGAAACCTAAATTGAAACGGAATTTCTTTTGTTTCTATTTTCTTTTTGTTTTCTACTAATGCAGCCAGAGATCATGCTCATAGTAACTGGGGGAGACCCCTACCCCACCCCCCACCCACCGGCCCCTAGTGAAAGCCGTGCCTATTAATAGCCTTTAGTCATTTAGTGAATCCAGGTCTCGTCGATGCCTTTTAACAACTATCTGATGTGAAAGTGTGCATCACTGCTAGTGCAATTTATAAAATACGGTCTTGGGTTAGGGTTAGGGTTAGGGTTGAGGTTACTGCATTTTTCCCAAACATGCAAACTCTAAAGTTCAAAAGCTGCCTTCACAATTACATTTTTCGCTGCCATGCATCAATCATAATTGAGATCAAGAGCAACGAACCTTGAAACACAGAAACACACAAAACGGATCACAAAATCCACCAATCACAGATCACAAACCATGACCTTTTGAACCCGTTTAAGTAAAGTTCTGTTTCCTAAGAGGTCTGCTAAATTGATTGACGGCAGTGAAAAATGCAATTGAGAAGGCGGCTTTTGAACTTTAGAGTTTGCATGTTTTTGAAAACAGCAGTAATCAGAAACTGGAGTAAATAAAATGCACTGTGAACCCAGAAAGTTTATTGGAGCTCATCAATAATGTTGGCAATAACAATGATGAGGAGGAAGATAACACTAATGATATAAGGATGATGATCACCATCATCACTACCATACAGTGTATAATAACCCTTTAAACCCTAAGATCAAAATTTGAATTCTCATTTGTTGCCTCTATTCATTTCCTACAGAAGTAGTAGCAAGAAGTTGATACCTTATCAAGCAAATTCATCTTGTGTGATCATGTCCGTAATTCTCATGACCACTCTGACTGTTTCAAAGCATTGATATTACCAGGAGAAATTTGATGCTGATCACTCTTAGTCTTAGAGCTTAAATCTGACACATGCTTACCAACTTACAAATTAATAATATGACGATCACAACAAACATACTCAATATAAAATAGCGTTAGTTTATGAGCTTCACCTCTTTTCCTTCCAGAAGGTCTCCAAGGCGTTTAACTGCAAATTCTCGCATTTGCGCTTGAGGGTGATGAAGACTCAAGACTAATGTTGTGTTGGTGTCTGGGATAACCTGAACAAAAAGTATAACAGCTTTGTTACAACGCTGTGTAGCTGGTATATATCTTAAATCACTCTTGACATCTCTTTTCAGTTTATCAGTAAAACTTTGATACAAGTAACCTTATCAAAGAAAAATTATTCAGGACGACCACTGAGTGGTTTTAAAAAGATGTTGTTACCTGTGACTGGACCCCTGTAAGTGCCATAGAAACAAGCTCCATTGTCCAGACAGAAGTCTGGGCCCCTGTACCTCCTGCTCCTCCTTCAGGGGTATCCTCTTTACCTCTGAGGGACCCTAGATGTCCTTCAATGGCCTTTTCCAGTTCTGTTGGGTACCTAGATGAACCAAAGGGATAAACCTCAGTTAGCATTTTCAATTACATGTTAAGAAGAGATGCCTATAAAGGAAATACAATGTAAAATTAGTACCTATAGCTTTATCCCCATTTACACCAAAGCTCAAACATGTTTAAAAGCCGCTTAGTTAAACATGGTTTAAAATAATTGTTTCCTTCATAAAAGCTGCTTACTGGAAAAGTAGTGCAAATTACAAAACATGTTGAATCTCATTAGAATCCTGTGTGAAAACCTGTGTTCCAGCTTTCCATGTCTGTCTTTCATTTGTTGAAACCTGGTTAAGTTGGTGTGAATTGGCATAGAGGCTTTTTCAAACTAATAAAAACTCCCAAGTACCAGTAATCAGAAAGCAAGTGGGCTATAATTTTTTTATAACTTCACAACTGACAAGGAATGTACAAACTGACCTTCTTTCCAAAGTCTGTACAATATCTTTCACTTGATCATTTAACTTGTTTATTTCAATCTTGTTTCCACCGAGTGTTTCACAAGCATAGCAATATTCTTCAAGAAGTGTTCTATTACAGGGAAAAAAAAGAAACAAAAACACAATCAAAGATGTTATTAACAGTATTACATTGTAAAACAATATTAAAAACTACTCTTACACTGTGACTGATGATGTTGTGAGTGATGTGGTAATATTAAAAAGTTTATGATAATGGTCATGACAAAAAATATGACGAAAAGGGGAAAATGCTGAGAATGATCAGGACAATGATCAGGATTTTAATGATGATGATTGTGACAACAATAATAACAATGCCGACAATGACAATGATGCGGATAACTGTGATGATGATGATGATGATGACCCACAAGGTAAGGTGTAATGATTTATGAATTATCCAGTGTCAGAAAAAGTACTCAACACAAAAAAATTCTTCTCAAAAGGATCTTTCCTTCAAACACGGGGAATACACTTTCATCATTCACTGGATAATTTCATTTCAAGTATAATTTCTGCTGTTTCTTTTGGGTGACTTCCTTTCTGTATCACTGTTATCGAAGAAGTGATCTAAGTCCCTAGAGACTAAGCTAAGAGTCACCATCATCATCATCATCATTTTGAGTCTTCTCAGGCCAGTCACCATTTGACTACTATAAATTTGATTCTGACCTGCCCACAAGGATAACAGACTCCTTTTCAAAATCAATGTTTTTCAGTAACTCCATGGTAATTTCAAGCAAGGATTCTGACGTTGAATCAGCATGTTCTTCTGATAATTCATTTTTTACACCAGCGGACACCATCTGGGGTACGATGACTTCCAACAGGGGAGTGATGACATGTGTGGAGGATAGCTGCTGGAAGGTCTTCACCAGATTTGGCTGCTTGAGAAGAGCTTTAAATGACCTACAAAAGCAAATTATTGCATAACTCAAAATGCCAATGAAATTTTCTAGTTAGCATTTCAGAGTAAGGAAAACAACAAATAAATAGCCAACAGTCTACGGTCTTTCTTTTAGAAAGTCATTCAGATGCTATCTGCCAGTCAATGTGTCATTCAACATCTTGGAGTGCATTCCTTTAGGACGATCCAGATCAGGATTTATGATCTGAGGTCACTTGAAACCAGTTTCTTGGAGGCAGTGATCTTGGATCGAAAGTCGTGATCTGGGCCATTCTATACAAACACACCCTTCCTGTCTGCCTTTCAATGATACCATCAGTTGAAGTCTGAGAGTCTGTAAAAGTCACAGAGGTCTTCCCATCTGTCAGCCTAACAAGCAGTCAGTCATTCAGTCTAGGCCAGTGGGTCAGAAAGGTCAATCAGTTGGTGGGTCAGTTGGACAGTCAAGATACCAGACAGTCAGTCAGTTGCTCAGTGATTTGAGCATTAGAAAGTGACTCAACTAAAGATTTGTTCTCAGGGGGTTATTCTTCAAACACGCACAGGCATTTGGCTAGGTTACAGTTGAAAGATTTACTGAAGGCAGTGATATTTATGCAAAACACGTATAACAAAACAAACTATGTACCTTTTCGACAGTTTCTTGATGTCTTGTGACTGGCAAAGGTAGGTTAGACAAGCAAGTCCTTCAACCGCAAGGCTTGGTTTTAGATTCTATGATAAAATTAAATAATTATACAGTCAACTCTCTCTAAGACGGACACCTTTGGGACCAGCACTAAGTGTCCATCTTAGAGAGGTGTCCGTCTTATAGAGAGTCAAATAAAAGGAGTAAAGAAAGGCAGGGACCAACTCTAGGTGTCCATTTTACAGAGGTGTCCGTTAAGAGAGAGTCGACTGTATGACATTCAATAACTATAGGACTGAGGCTTTATTGCAAGAATTCATAAGCCTTCTACTTGTTTATTCCCTCATTTGTGATGATATTGTTATTCAGACATGCTCCTAGGAATTAATGACTGGCTTGTTCTTTAGACTGGTTGCAGCTGAATTTTTGCTCCATTTAACTTCAATCTCTATTAATGAATGGACATCTTTCTGGAATATAAATCTAAAACCGTTCCCACCCAAATCTGAAGTCCGTGTCTGTACACTATACCACAACAAGTTGTGAGATGTCTGGATTTTGGGTTGACCCCAGGTAACAGATGTTTTCAATATACTCAAAGCCTATTATGTCAAAAATGTACAAGAAGCCTTGACTACATTGCAATGTGAAAATGTACTCACCTTACAAATACTTTCAGTGAGAGACTTCACCAAAGTTTCCTCCATGTTACACTTAAAACAGAGTTGGGCTGTTATCATGTAAGATGAAGCTAGAAGATCAGATATTCTGGACCCAAGTCCTTCCAATAAATATGGCAATAAATGTGTTATAAACTTCTCTGTCACTGAAGGCATCATGTCCAGCACCCCAACAACTGTTGTTGTGTAAAATGTAATTAAGACCCTGGAACTTGACAGAGGAATTTTTAATTTGATTCCTTCTGTCACCATGTCACAAACTAGGGATAAAAATGAATTATCTGAAATACAGTGCTGCAAGAAAGCAGTCTTAGAAAGAGGAACACCAGCCTTTTGAATTGGACGCAGCCAATTCCACCTGGAATGTGGATCTTTTATCGCTAACAGCTGCAAAACTCGAGCAAAGATATTTGTTTCGTGAAAGGGAAGAATACAAGAGACCAAGCTGTCTACATTGTAAACATGAATCTGGTAACGTCGAATTAGCCACTCCAAAACTTTATGCGCTGGTTTCAGCAAGAAATACGGAGATAAATATTTCAAGAACTTTGTGATGTGCTGATCTAAC